CTTGAAGGCACTCAGCTTTCTTGCTCTGTGGTCCTACAAACCCTCCACTCTCTCTCCTGCTGGTCTCTTGGTTACTTTGCCTCTGGTGCCATTGTCTCTCAATTCAAGGACAAACTCCACTCCTGTATTTTCTCTCTTGATGGCAGTGAGATCCCCCTTTTCTGCCACTTAGATGGCTCATTTTATGCCTAGTGGAATGAATGGCAAAACTGACCAATCCCCATGTTAGCATTCCATATGCATTATTTGCAGTTCTACCCCCCAAAGGGTGCCATATCCCTTATTTACATTATTAGCAAGTCATTCAATTCCCTTGGTGGGCCATAAGTGTCTCACATTTGCATAGTCCCACCCAGTCTTCTGGTAGGAATCATAAAGACTATGGTTAGAAGAGCCATATTAAGTAATTCACTTATGATTTGACATTTGACAGAGTTTACTGTATATGTAGTGGAATGTTCTTTATTCACATTAAAACTAAGTCAAAACTGTTCAAAACACTAAGAACAAGAGTAATACCTAGCAGAATTAATACTACTCAGTGAGTAAATTCAGAAAACTGAAATAGTATTTCTCAGAAATGATTGACAATTTTTCCATGTTAAAGTATTATAACAATATTCCTGATGTGTGTAATTTTTAAAAATGTTTTTACCTACAAAATGATGTTTGTGTTTATTATATTAGTGTTGGGTTGCTCTTGATTTGCATTATCCCTCAGAAGTTAGACAGGTTCTGACACTACTACTACTACTACTTGACTTTCACACAGGAAATGACATAGTGGTAGGTAATTTAAATGCTGTAATTTTGTAGTTGCAGTGTAGTAAATTACTTAGTATGGCTTTTCTACCCATAAGTTATTGTAAACTCAGTGGTAGAATGAGCAACTGAGGAGCTCCTGATTGTAAATGTTATCCACCTGGGTTATTTCTGTTGGGTGTGGCACAACACAATGTTATGGGAGGCTCACTCTTAAGTGCTTAGAGTTCTGATGCTATGATTGGCTAATTTGACCACCCTGCCGGGCTCAAAAGGAGGCCTCCTAGAGGCAGAACTCTCTCTGACTGCTGGTTGAGGAAGACGTGCTGCCGAAAGAGACGCAAGAGACATACATTGCTGAGTGAGACACTGAGGGACCAGCACTGCTGGGAAAGGGACTGTGAGAGACTGTTGGCTGAGGGACGGTGGGCTGGGAGAGAGGCTGAGCATTTTTCCTGAACTCGAATTGTAGCCTGTGGTGCTTCCCTAATAAACCCCATAATCTGTGAGCTCTGGGTGGCCACTGAAGCGAATTAGCGAACCCAGGAGAGAGGTGGTGGGTGCTTTGGGAGGAACGGTTGGAGAAAGGGCTGGAGGGAGGCAGCATGTCTGGCCTGGCAGGAATAGGCCTTGGGTTATTGATGATGACTCTGTCTTCCTCTTGTGGGATTAGAGGAGGTCAGAACATGTGGCCTCCTTGCCGTTTTTCCAGTAGCATTATAACATACCAAGTGGTAGTTTAAGTGCTGGGGAAAAAAAAACCAGTATGAAGCTGGAGAATGACAGGGGATAGAGAAGTTGGGGAAAACCTCGTGTGAAGGTGCTATTTGAGCTTGAATGAAATGAGGTAGCCACCAGCTCTCAGGCTACCTGGGAGAAAGGCACTGTTAGGAGAGTGGACAGCAAATTTCTGCATTTGTCTACCAGGTGCTGAACATATACTAGCTGCTGAGGACTGAGAGGGTGAACCAACAGAGGGGGAGAAAAAGAACAAAGGCAAGGCAGTTTCAGATCAAGATCATCATACAAGAAAACCAAACAGGGTGCTCTGATAAAAAGTGAGTGGGCTGGAGGGGTTCATGGTGGCCGCTCTAGAGGGAGAGATAGCAAAGGTCCCTCTGAGGCTGTGACACTCAACAAGAAACCTGAAAGATGAGAAAAAGCCAACCATGTGTGGAGAAAGGTAGAAGGCTCCAGGAAGAAGCAACACCAAGCATCTTGAGGTAGAAAGGAGTTAAGTAGTACATTTGAGGCCCTGGAAGAATTCTAGTGTGGCTGAAGCAGAGGTTGTAAGGAGGTCCCAATAGAAACATAAGCAAGAACTAGACATGGAGAGTCCTTGTAAACCATGATAAGCACTTGGAGCTAAGAGAAGACTGGGATGGAAATACAATACTGTGACTCAGCTGTGCACATGGGATAATCAAGGCCATGAGCAAGGAAAAGATTTTTCGAAAGAAAGTGTATTGAGAAGACAACCTCATGATAGTTTCAGATGACCTGCCAAAGATTGGAAGAAAAGCTGAAAAGTGAAGAATCAAGGGTTCGAAGAAGGAGAAAGTGGTCAACAATGTTCAAGGCTGATGAGAGTCAAGTAAGACAAGGACTGAAAAATGTCTACCAGGTTTAGTCACATGGAAGTCTTTGGGAACTTTGTAAAGAGTTGTTTTGACTTTCTCAGAAAAATCAAAACAAAGTCAAAAAGCAAATGTTTTTGAATTCATTAAGAGGGTAGTCTATTGGCAGGAAGAGAAGGAAGAAATGGAATATATGTCTCTAACTGCCTCCGTGAACAATGCCACCTTTGCCATGTGACAGGAACCAGATGGTATCTAGTTACCATTATTGAACATTTTGACGAAAGATTATATAGAAGAATTCTGATCAAAAGAAGAAAATGCAGAACAGAATTTCAAAATTGAAATCCTCCTGCCTTTCTGGAGGCATAGGGGCCGGATGAACCCTTGAAACTACTGCCCTGAGGAAATCTTTAAACATTAAAAAATATCCCCTGAAGTCTTCTTAAAACCAAACACTAGTTTAGCTTAACTGAAAAAGAATGTCTGCCTTGTGCATTATGCTCTTTTAAGATCTACCAATATGGGCTTAAATTGACAACGGCAACTTCAAAGATTAGACAGGAAACTTAGAGGGCAGTGAGTTTATGTTAATAGGGGAAGAACAACTCAGAAAAGGAGGGTAAGAAAGGTTGCAGAGCTGAAAGAACGTAATCAAAGTCACTGAATTGTACGTGCAGAAATTGTTGAATTGATGCACGTTGTGCTATGTATATTGTCAACAACAACAAAAATAAATTATAAACAAAAAAAAGAAAAAACAGGGTAATCTTTTGACTTCTGATATTAAGAGAATAGTTTGATTACCAGAACTTTAAAAAAGAGATGCTCTTCTGATTTTATGGGGGGAGAGTCAATATATCAATTAAAATATTCCCATATTCAGTATCCTGTAGATAATAACCTCAAAATTTTGCTGAGGATCACCATAACAGAAAAATGTGATACAAGTATAGCTTCTCTTTAAGTTAAATGCTAAAGATTTACAAAACTATCACTAGTATAATACTTCTAAGACTACAGGAATGTGATTCATGAAAGAGGATTGGCCAAAATTTCCCAAAATATCAATCTGGTAACTGGCCCTCCCTGATGTAGGCCCATTTTATCCACCAAATCTGTGCTTTCCATTGATTCTCAAACCTGAATCCCCTTCTTGGGAAAGTCACTCATCCCACATCCTCCTCCCAACCACACGTAACTCTCGCTCCTTCTAGCTCCAGACATTTGCCCCTGATGTTCTTTCCCAGAAAGTTCCTCTTGGTTTTTGTTGTTAAACCTGGTGCCTCGCACATGCTAGTGCTGCTCTATAAGCTGGGTAAACCTGATTTAAGGGGCACAAAATATCTACCCTCTTCCATAGAGCACCCCTGGCCAATCTAGGCCACAGTGATCATTCCTTTTTCTACACTTCTACAGGATTTTCAATCAAATGCACGAAGTAGTGAGCATAAACAATACCTGGAGAGACAATTTGTGGAACAATGTGAAAACATAATTAAGAATACTTTTTAAAATACTACCTATCTAATCTAGATTAAGCTGTATTTTGAATATTTTTCAAATATAACATATTTTGTTAACATAACACCAAGTAATAGAACATATGTATATTTATAAAACATGAGAAGTAAATGTTAAAAAGAGGTAATATTCTTTACTGAAAGGAATTCATAGAACAAATATTATGAGACAATGCTCTTATATACCAAACCCAACACTGTCAAGGTTCTAGGAATGATCCCTCGACATAGCAAAGATATCCATAGTAGTCTTCAAACAGGGCTGTCTCTTGGCTGCCCTTCTTTAAACTGACAGCTAAGTGGGTGATCTGAGTACATGCATCCTTGCTACAGAGAACAGTTACATTTCTCTTGATGGTGATAAGGTTTTATTGTCAGAAACTAAGGATGGTTTTAATAGGTAATTTATCTATTGCTATTTACTCGCTATGCTATTTAGTTATTCTCAGAAACAAAGATTAAAAATTCACTATAGGCAAAAAGCACAAGCAGAATTCGGGGGTCCACTCCTCTCACCTGAGAGTAAGCAAGAGAGGGACCATCCTGAGCCCCTATTTTCTCATTAGCCAATGCAAATACCTGCCTGTTTCATAAGGCTGTTAAGGAAATTAAATGAGATAATGTCTGAGAATGTACTCAAAAAGAGTGCATAACAGAGCCCTTTGAAAGGAAGACTAAGAACTGGAATTTCTTAGCACAAACAAAAGACTCAGGCTAAAATATTGATTCTACTTATAACTGAATCAATTAATTATATTTAAATATATAATCTTTAAGATATAAACTCAATGGCTATCAAAATTGCTGCAACCTACACGGGAACAGAGATACACATGCAATGTATATACACAGCTTCTGGGAAGAAAGCATTTTTAAAAAAGGATTAGAACCTTGAGTTCAAACCCTGCCACCTGAATAAAAACAGGCAGAGGCCAAAATAATACTGCCAAAAATTCAAAAACAGTATGTACCTTTTCCCCTTACTACTATAATTCAAAATAGCCTGGGAAGAGAGAAAGAAAAATTATATTTCCTCCTGAAAGGCCTGCCCCAATTAAAATTCTAAATGTCTCCTACACCAAGAGCACTGGTTTATTGGCAGATTATTAAGCCCTGGACCAATGTCACTCTGTTAGACCTGTATTAAAAACGTGGTTTATGTGGTACAGGGTCAGATCAGTAAAGAGCTGTTAGCAGATGACAGGTTTGATTACCGCTTGCTGCAGGCAAGACGTATGGATCCCTGAGGAACAGCAGCACTGGCTGGTGGGACAGTTTGCTGGAAAGGTCAAGAACAGGCATGTCAGCATCAGGGGACGACGGTAAACAGAAAACACTACAAACTAGCTTTGAGGGGATCAAACTGCTGTGCGGGGATGTCTCAAGGTTTATGAATCTAACGGTGTGGGTGAATAATGGCAAACAGAGTTAGATGGAACAAGCTAACACTGTGCTCTTCTTCTAAACATTTCTTTGTGGAATTTGAAGCAGATATATAATCTGTACAATAAATCACTGCTGAAAGTTTTTATTTTAATCTTGTAGCACGATTATTGATAAAACAGAGTTCTTATTACTCATATGAAAAAACTTAGGGTTCTTACTCCTTTGTTCGTAAATATACCATATTTTCGTATATAATGTGCATATTATGCACAGAAAATTAACATGTGAGGGGTTGTGCAGTTTGTGCAAATATATGGTAATTAGCTACTCTTCTAACTTCTTATCAATTATTTATATTCTTAAAACCAATTTTCCAACAAAGACTTTCAAGGAAAACATAACTTAAAACACTTATGTGATAGGTAATTAAACACCTAACAAAGCCACAGTCCTATTCTCGGTCTGTGTAACTCCTAACTGACTAGTGTTTGTTCTTACCTTGACTCTTCAGGTTCTGTCTCATCAAAAGATCTAAAATTTTTAAAAGAGGAAAATTATATTAACCAGTATTAACTGGGTCAATGTCTATGCCAACAAAAGGAAATGAGCCAGTATTCATAGAGCACTGAACTGGGAAACATTTTGAAAAAAAAGAGGACTTCACACAACCACGGCATGTCAAGTGACTTGTAAGATTGTCCTAGTGACTCGTAGTAAGACTGGTATATTCTAGAGTTTCAATTTTCCTGAAGATCACTTAAGATAGTATAGTTTTAATTTTTGGCCTTATACAATGGAGAAAAGATTCATTCACTGTAATTACCAGCACCTCTTCTTGAAAATACAAAAAACATACAAGAAAGCTGATCCCCAGAGAATACACATAAGTTGTAAGAGAACACAATGACAACACATATTATTTGGTGAGAAGAGACTCTAATTCTACTCTGAGATGAGTGGGTGAGTGGTGAGTGTCCCTGCTTGAACACTGACAGTGAAGAAGTTGTGACAGGGGACTGACTACAGTCTCTCATCCAGCTGGTGGCTAAGGTTTAACACAACTTTGAGTGTAGTTTGCTTTACCTTAAAGATTTTGTAGTTGGTGTGGTTCCTCCCAGTCAGATCTGGAAGGATCAAGAAAATGGATAAAATACTCTCTCCTGCTAGGATTTGCAGAGTTTGTGAAGACTCATTTGTTTGTAAATGGATCTACTGTTAGGGATGCTGGTGGCTGCCTTCTCAGGCTAGCTCAGCCCAAGTTATGCACCCAGAGCACTCCAGGATTTCAGTGTCACTTCTTCAGAAGGGCTTGGCCAGTTGCTGATGATTGGTGTTGTTATGTGCTGCTGGGTTGTCTCCGACTCATAGAGACCTTATGTACAACAAAATGAAATGCTGCCCTGTCCTGTGCCAGCCTCATAATCCCTGCCATACCTAAGCCCATTGCTATAGCCACTGTGTCAATCCATCTTGTTGAGGGCCTTCCCCTTTTTCATTGACCCTCCACTTTACTGATGGTAACAAACATTATTTCCTCAGTAAGTAGGGATGAGGATCTCCAACCCTTACTTTAGAAGTTCCTGAGGGAGAGGTGTCAAGATAGTGGAGAGAGCGTTGGCCTATACAATTGGAGGCCTAAACTCTGCCAGGTACAAGTTGAGACATCTTGGGAAGTTCATTTAACTCCTTCTGTCTCTTTTGGCTCAAATATTAAATAAGAGGAATTGAGTCAGATTGTCTCTAAGGTTATTTATAACTAACTTTATATGAGTATATGTGGTAAGGGAATATAGACTTTACTTGCATATCCACAGATAAACAAATTAGCTCCTAAGCAGGTCATTTAAATTCATAATTTCTACCACATGACTTAACTCTATGTAAGCATAATTTATAAAGGCAATCCCCTGAGTCTAAACATGAGTTACTTACTGAGCCTTGCAAGATGTGTATAAGGGCTTTAGAGGAGTTCCTCTGGCTACAAGCAGGGGGCGAGCAAGTGCTGTCCCAAGCCAAGAGAGTGGGTGTGGCCAGACTGGCCCTTTTAGCACCACTGGCTATATCTGTTAGACCAATAAGTTACTGAAAAGTAACTTAAAAAACATGTCCAACATGTAACAATAATGCTTACCCACAACTCTCCGCCTTTGGTAGCGAGGGCAAGTGTCGGATGTTCAGGAAATCAAGAAACAGTTTGGGAAGTTCTTCATTTTCTAAAATGACAGCCTGTGAAGGCACGAAACAGAAACTGAAGTTTGCTATGCAATCAATCAAATTAACTATTTCAAAAAGTCATAACCGTCCATCAAGTTTTTACCAGCATCACTCCTCACAATCGACATGAGAAGTGGCCCCACATTCTCCCCACTGAGAATTCAGGCCAACACACATGCTCTTCAGTGTCAGAAAATGCAGCATTGTATTTGTTCCTTTATCCAACCAGAAGACCTACTCTACTCCAGATGCTGAGGTAGGGGACCAGAGAGTGGGAACCAAGTAGACAGAGTCTCGGCTATCACAAAATTCTAATCCAGAATGGCATTTCAAAACCTGGGAATATCAATAACACTGCTAACATATATAAAGCAAACTTTCCTTACTTAGCAATCAAATGGCCTGATATATATGTTGCTGCTGTTATGTGCCGTCGAGTCGGACTCGACTCATAGCGATCCCTCCTTGGGCTTCCAAGGCGGTATCACTAAGGAAGTAGATTGCCCCATCTTCCTTCCGAGGAGTGGCTGGTGGGTTTGAATGGCCAGCCTTCTGGTTAGCAGTCAAGTACTTTAGCCATTATGCTACCAGAGCTCCCATATATATACACACATATATTTCCACAAAAGACCACTGCTGCTTAGGAATACCGTAAATACTATAAATGCTTTTTCTAAATGGAAGATTTAGTCAAGATCCTTCAGCTCTAACAGTTTTCACATTAGGATCAACTGGTATTTCTTGCTATTAGACAACTCCACTTAAAGAGTCAGTAACAACTTTACCACTAAGTATAAATCAGTGTATATATATATTTAAAATCTATAGAGTTCTTCCATTTAGGGAACTCTCTGTTAAGTAGCTGGCACAATGGCATAACCATGTCAGTATTGAAATATCCATATTATGCAATTTCAAAGAAAAATCTGATGGAGTTAACCATAGGGTATGTTTTCATATATATGTATTTTTAAGATTCTGTCATGGTATTTGACCTGATCGTGCACTTTTTAAACAAAGACCATCTATGGAAGTAAAGCATCAACACTGTATAATAAAGTCTAAAATCCACATAACTATTTTTTTTTTATTGTGATTTAGATGAAAGTTTACAGAGCAAATTTGCTTTCCATACAGCAGTTCACATACACTTTGTCTCATGACATTGACTACAATTTACCACAGTGCAACAGCTCCCTTCCCACTTCCTTCTGTTAGTCACCTCTATCCTGTGTCCATCCTTCCATGCACTCCTGCCCCCTGAGCTGTCTCCCCATGCATAAACAGTCCTTCTTTCTCCCCTGATTGTTCTCTCCAAGGAGTGTATCTACCTCAGGTAAATGTTCCTCTCGTATGCCTGTCTTTTGTTTGGCTGGAAGCCACAGGTATGAGTTCAATTCCAGACCTGAAGGGTAAAGCCTTAGTCTCAGTGGTTCTATCAGGCTCTATCAGACCAGCAGATCTGGTCCTTTTTTTTTTTTTTTTTTTTAAATGATTTTGAGTTTTGTTTCACATTGTTCTCCCAACTTTATCCAGGATCTCCTACATAGATCCCTCTCCGAGTGGTTCACAGTGGTTGCCAGGTACCATCTAGTTCTTCTGGTCTCATAGTTGTATAGGCTGCAGATCGCAGGGTGTACAAGTCTCAAGGACTAATTATTTCCATGAGTCTTTGGTTTTCTTCATTCTTCTTTGCTCTGGATGAGGAGAGATCCATTGTTGCATCTAGATGGCAGCTTGCAAGCTTTTAAGATCCCAGTCGCTACTTGCCAAAGTAGGAGGTGGAACAATGTTTTGTGTAGTATGTTATGCCAATTGAACTTTTTGTCCCCTGCGACTATGGTCCCGAACCCACAGGTTCAACTACTCGGTCCCTCTGGGTAGCTGAGTGCCCAAGAATTGACTACAACCTTGTCCCTTGTCAGCTCTACTATACACATGGGAATTTTTACAGAACATACAAATACACTTGTAGAACCATTGTCCACCAACCCTATACTTGGTCTTGGGCACACTCCTCTCTGCACAGACATACCTAATAGTTCAGCCTGTCCACCCATCTATCTACCCATGTACCCATGTTTGCTGACAACACAGTACTATATGTGCAAAAGGGTTCATCTTTGTTGTCTGTAGCTTCCATGTACCCCTCTATGTCTTCCTCAATGCCACCATGCATGTAACTATTCTTAAGGGTCATTATTATATTTTACCATGGCTAAGTTTTTTCCAATAAGCCCATATTGTTGAAAGAATAAAGAGAAATGATGGTGAAATTTTATTCACACAGCTCATTAGGGACACTTACATAAGGTATGCAACAAATGAGAAAAGCAATGTCAAATTCTATGTATCACATATTTACATAATTCAATATAATATTTCAGTTTTATCCATGATTAATGTACTGAGTTGCCCTATTTCTTACACAGCTTTGGAATACTGCTACCTATTCCAGGGTAACAGTGAGGGACTACAAAGGTTGCCAGTCTTACCCAGGCTGACCCCTGTATTCCTCTAGTGCTCAACCTTCCTGCTGTTCAGTCCCTTGCAGAGGGGGCTGTCAAGCCAGGCATGTTTGGGGCTATTACTATTCTTTATGCAGCCCACTGTACCCACTGAAGTTTAAGGAATAAAAGAGAGAAGAAAAGTGTTTGAAGTTATACTTTAATCCTTCAAAAAATATTTATTGGGCATCTATCATGCAAGGCACTGGGATATGGTGGTGAATACAGGTTCCGTTACATGGGTTGGTGGAAAAGACTGATACACAAATAAAGACACACACATACAACAACAACAACTTAAATCTGCCTTAAAATATAGTGATATAGAATCAAATGATTCTAAATACCACTCTTTAAAAGTATTTAATTCTTTATCCATCTATATATATGCATGTATACAAACACACACATACTTAAACACACACAATTTTTACTTTTTTCTTGTACAAAGGTGGGGGGAGGGTTTAGGGGAAAAGAAAAAAAAAAAGCTTCTCTGTGCAGTTTTTTTTTCCCCCTTATTTTCCAGTTTATTTCCTTCAAACCATTTGACCTTCATCTAAACGTTTATCTACCTGAGGAATTATTTTTGTTGCCCAAAGGGTCATTATTTCTGTGACCAGAACTCAAAAGTTTCTAGAACTCATTATGTATATGAAACGCCAAGGACTTTTTGAGGTAACACAAGTTGCAATGATTATCAATTTATTTTTAGAAATCTGTTTAGGAGGATGACATAATACTTACATGAATAATAAAGCTAATGTTGTAACAAGCAAAGAGCTGTTCATTCAGGCAATAGTTTTAATTGTGTACAAGTGATACCTCTCAGACCAAAAAAAAAAAGAAAAAGGAAATGGGGGAGGTAACATTCTTATCTCCACCCCCACCTTTTAAAATAAATTAAATCAATAACAAGTGTGGGACACTTTTAATGACCTGAACTACTTAATTTCCAGGATCTTTAGACATGTCATCCATCACTGCAGTATGGAGGGAGACATCTCTTGAGTGTTCAGGGGGTTACTTTGGTTTTATTAATGCAAGATTTAGGGAATTTTAACAAGGTGAATTGTTTATTTGCCTTGACAGATTGGCTTACAATGCACTGGCTACATCTACAGCATGATCATTAATGACAAAAGACAGGCAAAAAGCTGTTTACACTGCAACACCAGGCCAGGAATTAATCCCACTCAGCCTCCCCAAACAGAATACACCAAATAGATAATCACATTGTTTTAGGTAAGGCATACTGGCCAAAAAAAAAAGGGGGGATACAGAAATTTCTGAGTATTTATTTTTGCTAAATGGTCATTAAATATTCTCATATTATATTGCCTATAAAACAATGACTGACATGTTTTTCAGGATTTACAGTGATTAAAAGGACAACCTAGGAAGTCAGTGAAGCATTCAGTTATGTAGGCAGAGATACTTCCTGCACTCTGTCAAGAACACTTGTAAGAAAAGAATACTAAAGCCCAGAGATGATGTGTAATATAGAATTTACCTAATTCAATATAATATGTAGAAGTGAAATGACTGTCATTAGTACAGAGATGTAAGAGAAAAATTAAATCAAATCAAGTAAATCTCATTCAATGAGGCATGGGACAGCAAAGCCGGGCCATGAGACAGCTCTATAACATAACTTGCTCAGTTTCTTGAAAAGCTTCTGCTTAGCAGGAACCACCCCTTCTTGACACCCCACCCTGGGACTCCCCTTTGTTTGGTACCCTAGGCTGCTGCAAATCACTTAATTTTTAGCTTCTAAAAATATTTCTTTGTATGTAAGTTTTGCATATCAAATAAAAATTCCCTGCTGTTTTAGAGTACTTTATCTTTGCTTTGGATTCATCTTTAATGGTCAGTTGTTTTGTTCTTTAGAGAGGCAGTGTGGTACTACAAAATATGTGAGCTTTGGGACCAAACAATCCTGGGTTCAAATCCCGGCTCTGTCACCTGCTAGTCATGTGCTCTGTGCTAGTGTCTTAAGCTTTCCAGGCTTTAATTTGTTCTGCCAGTGTTACTAAGGCCTACTTGGAGAGGTTGTTGGAGTCCCTGGGTGATACAAATGGTTAATGTATTTGGGTGCTAACTGAAAAGTTAGAGACCTGAATCCACCTAGAGGTGGCCGAGAAGAAAGGCCTGGTGATCTACTTTAGAAAAATCAGCCATTAAAAACCTTATGGACACAGTTCTACTCTGATACACATGGGGTTGCCTTAAGTTGAAATAGACTCATGGCAGCTGGTCGTTAAAGCACTGTCATAAGGATCCAGTGAGATGTCTCTAAGAATCCCTGGTACACAACTGGCATTCAGTAAGTGCTAACTCTCTTTTCTTTGAGTCTTTTTATTTGTCAACTCCCAACAACCTATTATATCGGCTTTGAGAGTTTGGACTATAGTCCATCTAGTCAACAGAGGCTCTTAGCAAGGATTCTCTTGAAAATTGGACAAAAGATGAGCATTCTGCTTTCTGAGAAATACATATACATCTATA